GAACAAAAGACCACCAGAGCTGTTTCACCTCTCTCTCTCTCTCTCTCTCTCTCTCTCTCTCTCTCTCCCTCTCTGTGTGTGTGTGTGTGTGTGTTTTTCTTTGTGCATGTATGTGTGTGCATGCATGCATGCATGCATGTGTGTCTGTGTATTTGTCTGTCTGTGTGTGTGTGTGTGTCTGTGTTAATATTTCTTTGTGCATGTGTGTGTCTGTGTTTTTCTGTGCGCGTGTGTTTGTTTGTATGCATTTGTATGTGTCTCTGTAAGTTTGTCTGTCAGTGTTTGTGTGTATGTGTGTGTCTGTGTGTTTTTTTGTTTCTCTTTGTGTGTGTCTCTCTATGTGTGTGTGTCTGTGTACCTGTTTCTCTATGTGTTTGTGTCTGTGTTTTGTGCATTAGTGTCTCTCTCCATTTCTCTCTCTGTCTGCATTTGTGTGTGTGTGTCTGTGTTTGTGTGTGTGTGTGTGTCTGTCTGTCTGTCTGTCTGTGTGTGTGTGTGTATGTGTGTCTGGATGCACCGGCTCAAGCTTCATTATGTGTGTGTGTGTATGATTTAGATAGGGAATGACATGAGCTAAGGGGACATATTTGGGATCCTGTAACCTTTCTCTTTGCTTTCTCATAAGCCTCATGAATAGTTCAGGTCAGTGGGTTTGTCTGAATCTCTGATTTTACCATCCATGAAGGAAATCAACATGAATTTCTTATGTGTTCATGTGTATAGGTGTGATTTTTGTATAGTATTAGAATGTTGTCATTCCAGTGTTTTACATGGGAGAAAATCTTACATGCTAGCTATTTTAATGTATGTGCTATTAAGACTTCATCTTGATATGGTAGGCGACGCAGTGGTGCAGTAGATAGTGCTGTCGCCTTACAGCAAGAAGCCCTTATTCATAGCATAGTTATCTACAGGAGAGGAGAAACGAAACGTCCACAGGAGAGGAAGAAAGACATCCACGGAAGAAGGCAAGGGGGAGAAGGTGAGGTGAACCATCCTACTACAATTCCAGCTGATGAGTGACTGGAATAGGTGAGTTTATGTAGTGAGTGGTGATTGATGGTGCAGGTGTATGTAATTAGTATTCAGGTGGTTGTGCACGAGTGTGGTGAGAGGCTGGTGAGGGAAAGCGGTAATTGGAGCTGCAGGAACGAGCCGAGGATGTGACAGCGAGTACAAACTGGTAACAGCGGGAAAGCCGTCTATACGGAGGTAAGGGCCTTACGTACTTCTGGCTACGTAATTCGCGATCTCCAGAAATGTATATAAGGCTATGTTTTCAGAATGAGCCTTTGTTGCAACTGATATAAAACAAGTTCAGTCATTTACATTCAAGAAATCAAAACTTGGTGGATTAATCCTGATTTTCAATCAACAATAACATTTTTATTTTATTACTACTTCAGTTACGGGTGAAGCAGTGGCGCAGTAGGTAGTGCTGTCGCCTCACAGCAAGAAGGTCGCTGGGTCGCAGGTTCGAGCCTCAGCTCAGTTGGTGTTTCTGTGTGGAGTTTGCATGTTCTCCCTGCATTTCCGTGGGTTTCCTCCGGGTGCTCCGGTTTCCCCCACAGTCCAAAGACATGCGGTAAGTTGAATTGGGTAGGCTTAATTGTCCATAGTGTGTGTGTGTGTGTGAATGTGTGTGTGGATGTTTCCCAATGATGGGTTGCGGCTGGAAGGGCATCTGCTGCATAAAAACTTGCTGGATAAGTTGGCGGTTGTGGCACTGTGGCGACCCCGGATTAATGATAGGACTAAGCCGATAAGAAAATAAATGAATGAATACTACTTCAGTTGCAAAAATAACTGTTTATAAGACATTTTATAAGAGCTTTGAATAATAAACAATTAATCTCACACACACACACACACACACACACAAATATATTTGTGCATGCGTGTGTGGGTCAAAATAAGTAAATAATTCACAACGATGAAAAACCATTTATACTCATACTGAGTTTCTAAATAGTTACATTTTAGTATCCTTGTTACACTGTAACTACATACTATAATACTGAGTGATATATTAACAATGTGTACTATATGGTCAGGGTTAAAATGAGGGTTGGGTTTAGGGTTAGTTGCATGTAATTATGCATCATTGCTTGTATTACTTTAAGTATTACAGTAAGTATATAAAATATTTAATTTTATATACCAAGATTACTTTATAAGTGTTACTAAATAGCCAAAAATACTAAACAAATTAATGGAAAAAATTATACATATAACTGAGTATCAAAGCAGTAAATACCAAAAAATGTGGGATGAAAACGGAAATACTTTTCAAAATCAGCTAACTATCTCATTTAAATATATAATATTTATAAATATATTATTTAACATGCACAAAAATGTATTTATATATTAAAATTGTATAATATGTTAAAAAAAATTATGCATCTACATTTGTGCATGTCAAAAATAAGAATTTAGTAACACCATTAAACGCAATCTTCAACAGTTCAATAGCTAATTTTCTCTACATGTCGTGTTTCATTCAGTGCAATACTCTTCGTGTGCTTTTGCAGTAAACACAGCAGGGCTTCATGCTCAGCATATGTCTGCAAAGGGTGCTGTGAGGCCCTACTTTTATCAACATTACCCATGTGTCGGTCGGTTTGTGAAAGGGGGAGGAGAAATGGAGGAGAGAGCGTGGCAGGCTGAAAGCCACAGCAGATTACAACCTGATTGGCTAAAAACTGGATTAAAAACTCAGCCCAGTTGGCAGAGGCTCAGGTTTCCTCGTGTATGAAACATGCTGGAGTTTTTATGACTGCTGCATGTGCATGACCCTCTCTCTCTCTCAACTCAATTCAATTCAATAATTGCTGTACTGGCATGACAAATATTACAAATGTATTGCCAAAGCATAAAAAAGAACATGGTATGGTTAAAAAGAACAAACATATATACATTATATATATATATATATATATATATATATATATATATATATATATTAATAAAGTCCCTTTATTAATCCGGGGCCAAAGCATTTATAGTGTTTGCGTTAAAAAGAACATCACTGTAAATATTCATTTATTAATTTCTTTTTTGCTTTGTCCCTCTATTCATCAGGGGTCGCCACAGCGGAATGAACCGCCTACTTATCCAACCTATGTTTTACACAGCGGATGCCCTTCCAGCAGAGGCTCAAACCAGTGACCTTCTTGCTGTGAGGTGAACGTGCCACCCACTGCACCACCGTGTCACCCACTATGTTGTTTTTTGTTTTTTAAATATATATATGTTCTTTTTAATGTAAACTTTAGAAATGCTTGGCAATACATTTGTAATATTTATCATGCCAATAATATGTGTGTGTGTATGTGTGTGTGTGTCTCTCTCTCTCTCTCTCTCTCTCTTTCTGAATTTAAATGAGCTTTACTGGCATGACTTGCACAGTATTGCCAAAGCATTGATCGGTACATGAATAATTGACAAACAAATGTAAAATACAAAACAGAAAACATGAATAGATCTGTTAAATAATTAAGCAAAAACATCTAAAACATATACTTATGAATAACGTATACTTAAAAATAAGTAATACAATAAATAATAATAATAAAGGCAAGGCAAAGCAAGGCAAGTTTATTTATATAGCACATTTCATACACAGTGGCAATTCAAAGTGCTTTACATAAACAAGAATAAAAGAAACAAGTAAAATAAAAATAAAAACAAATAATAATAATAAAAATGCGTAAAAACAAAACAAAACATAAAAACAGGTAAAATGTGATATAAAAGAATGAAGAAGAAGAGAAAAACATGATAGTGCAATCTGTTGGACGCAGCACAGTTACAGTCATTCAGTAAAGGCACAGCTAAACAGATGTGTTTTCAGTCTTGATTTGAATGTGCCTAATGTTGGAGCACATCTGATCATTTCTGGAAGCTGATTCCAGCAGTGAGGGGCATAGTGGCTAAAAGCCGATTCACCCTGCTTTGACTGAACTCTTGGAACTTCTAGTTTATATGATCCTAATGATCTGAGTGATCTGTTAGGTTTGTATTCAGTGAGCATATCTGTAATGTATTTAGGTCCTAGGCCATTTAGTGATTTATAGACCAGTAATAATACTTTAAAATCTATTCTGAATGCAACTGGCAGCCAGTGTAAAGACCTGAGGACAGGTGTGATGTGCTCCGATTTTCTGGTTCTGGTTAGAAATCTGGCTGCAGCATTCTGGATGAGCTGTAACTGTCTGACTGTCTTTTTAGGAAGACCAGTGAGGAGTCCATTACAGTAATCCACCCTGCTGCTGATAAAAGCATGTACAAGTTTTTCTAAATCTTCACTAGAATAAAGTAAAACATTAATAAATATATACTGTACAGTTGAAAAAATAAATTATCACCCTCCTGTGAAATACTTGAAATTCTTGAAATATTCGTGAAATATTTCCCTAACGATGTTTAAAAGAGCAAGGAAATTTTCACAGTAATTTCTATAATATTTTTTCTTCTGGATAAATTTTTTTTTGTTTTATTTCGGCTAGAATAAAAGCCGTTTTTAATTTTCTTAAAGACATTTTAAGGTCAATATTATTAGCTTTCTTAGGATATTTTTCAATTGTACAGAACAAACCACTGTTATACAATGACTTGCCTAAATAACCAAGTTAAGCCTTTAAATGTTCCTTTAGGCTGAATACCAGTATCTTGAAAAGTTTCGAGTAAAACATTATGTACTGTCATCATGGCAAAAATTAATTAAATCAGCTATTAGAGATGAGTTATTAAAACTATTATGTTTAGAAATGTGTTAAAAAATCTTCTTTGCATAAAACAGAAATTTACGGTGGGCTAATAATTCAGACTTCTGTATATCTCTTTCCACAGTAGTCTTTATCGTGACCAATGACCATACATATCTTTAAGCCCATTAAAGCAAACCAGCAGAACAGGTTAGAAAGAGCCAACAGAAGAGGGAGGGCAGAGAGGGGGAGAGAGAGAGAGAGAGCGAGAGAGAGAGAGAGAGAGAGAGAGAGAGCAAGGCCATTGGGAAACCCTTTGTGAGAGAAAGGCATAAAGGCAGCGGAGTGAAAAGAAAAGGGAAGCTCATCTCTGTGTGTGTTTTGGTGAAGACGTCCGCAAAAAAAGGAAGTAAGATTATGTAAATCTTGTTTGGCACAATATTGCAACAGATTGTTCTTATGCTGGGCTTATGAAATTCAAAGCAACGCGTGCTGTATTGTAAATATGTGTGTGCTTGCTTGCCGTCACACGTTGTGTTTATGTAACTGCATGCATCGAACAATATTGTTTCACACTTCAATATTTATTCATAAGCAAAATCAGACTTGACACATCCCGCACATGGCATGCAAATGTGTGAATACTGTGCCTCAGCGTTAAAGGGACAGTTTACCCAAAACTGAAAATCATTTACTTGTTCCAAACCTGTTTGAGTTTCTTTCTTCTGTTGAACACAAAAAAAGATATTTCGAAGAATGCTGAATGCCATTGATGTCTATAGTATTTGTTTTTCCTACTATGGAAGTTAATGGTGTTTAGCATTCTTCAAAATATCTTCTTTTTTTATCTACAATTTTTCATTCTTCTGTTGAACACAAAAGAAGATATTTTGAAGAATGCTGAATGCCACTGACGTTCACTGTATTTGTTTTTCCTACTATAAAAGTTAATAGTATTCAGTATTCTTCAGAATATGTTCTTCTTTTCTCTGTTAAGCACAAAAGAAGATATTTTAAAGAATGCTCAACGCCATTGATGTCTAAAGTATTTGTTTTTCCTACTATGGAAGTTCAGCATTCTTAAAAATATCTTCTTTAATCATTTTCTTTCTTCTGTTGAACACAAAAGAAGATATTTTGAAGAATGCTGAATACCATTAACTTCCATACTATGAAAAACAAATATGACGGACGTCAATGATATTCAGCATTCCTCAAAATATCTTTTTTTGTGTTCTTATTTTTATCTTTTTTCGTTCCTCTGTTGAACACAAAAGAAGATATTTTGAAAAATGCTGAAAGCCACTGACGTCCACTGTATTTGTTTTTCCTACTATGGAAGTCAATGGTGTTTAGCATTTTTCAAAGTATCTTTTTTATTCATCTTCTACTTTTCTTTCTTCTCTCAAACACAAAAGAAGATATTTTAAAGAATGCTAAATGCCAGTGGCGTCTGTAGTAGTTGTTTTTCTTACTATAGAAGGTTAGCCTTCTTTAAAATATCTTCTTTTTTAATCCTTTTCTTTCTTCTGTTGAACACAAAGATATTTTGAAGAATCCTGAATACCATTAACTTCCATAGTATGAAAAACAAATACGATGGGCGTCAATGACATTCAGCATTTTTTAAAATATCTTCTATGTTCTTCTTTACTTTCTTCTATTGAACAGCATTCTTCAAAATATCTTTTATATCTTCTATTTTTTCATTCTTCTGTTAAACACAAAAGAAGATATTTTGAAGAATGCTGAATGCCGCTGAAAGTTTATGATATTTAGTATTCTTCAAAATATCTTATATTTATCTTCTTTTCTTTCCTCTGTTGAACACAAAATAAGCTATTCTGAAGAATGCTGAATGACATTAGCGTCCATACTATTTGTTTTTCCAACTGTGGAAGTCAATGGTTACTGGTTTCTTTTTTTTTTTCAACCCCCACAATAAATATTAAATTTATTCCCCTTAGGATATTCTAAACCTGTATGAAATTATCCTCATTTACAGCAGTACATTTCTGTAAAATTACCAGAACAGCTTCACTGGATTTTTTTTTTAAAAGGGGCCTGTACATACTTGATCTCTTTTTTTTTTTTTGAGAAATTACTGGTAACTTCTTTCTAGAAAAGCTTGTATCTTGTAGTTACTAGTAATTTCTTTCTGGAAACATCTGTATCTAATCTTCTTCTTTACTTTCTTCTGTTGAACAGCATTCTCCAAAATATCTCCTTTTTTATATTCTATTTTTTCATTCTTCTATTGAACACAAAAGAAGATATTTTGAAGAATGCTGAATGCCATTAACTTCCATACTATGAAAAACAAATATGACGGACGTCAATGATATTCAGCATTCCTCAAAATATCTTCTTTTGTGTTCTTATTTTTATCTTTTTTTCGTTTCTCTGTTGAACACAAAAGAAGATATTTTGAAAAATGCTGAAAGCCACTGACGTCCACTGTATTTGTTTTTCCTACTATGGAAGTCAATGGTGTTTAGCATTTTTCAAAATATCTTTTTTATTCACCTTCTACTTTTCTTTCTTCTCTCAAACACAAAAGAAGATATTTCAAAGAATGCTAAATGCCAGTGGCGTCCGTAGTAGTTGTTTTTCTTACTATAGAAGGTTAGCCTTCTTTAAAATATCTTCTTTTTTAATCCTTTTCTTTCTTCTGTTGAACACAAAGATATTTTGAAGAATCCTGAATACCATTAACTTCCATAGTATGAAAAACAAATACGATGGACGTCAATGACATTCAGCATTTTTCAAAATATCTTCTATGTTCTTCTTTACTTTCTTCTATTGAACAGCATTCTTCAAAATATCTTTTACATCTTTTATTTTTTTCATTCTTCTGTTAAACACAAAAGAAGATATTTTGAAGAATGCTGAATGCCGCTGAAAGTTTATGATATTTAGCATTCTTCAAAATATCTTATTTTTATCTTCTTTTCTTTCCTCTGTTGAACACAAAATAAGCTAATCTGAAGAATGCTGAATGCCATTAGCGTCCATACTATTTGTTTTTCCTACTGTGGAAGTCAATGGTTACTGGTTTCTTTTTTTTTTCATCCCCCACAATAAATAATAAATTTATTCCCCTTAGGATATTCTAAACCTGTATGAAATTATCCCCTTTTACAGCAGTACATTTCTGTAAAATTACCAGAACAACTTCACTGGTATTTTTTAAAGGGGCCTGTACATACTTGATCTCTTTTTCTGAAAAATTACTGGTAACTTCTTTCTGGAAGAGTCTGTATCTTGTAGTTACTGGTAATTTCTTTCTGGAAACATCTGTATCTAATCTTCTTCTTTACTTTCTTCTGTTGAACAGCATTGTTCAAAATATCTCCTTTTTTATCTTCTATTTTTTCATTCTATTGAACACAAAAGAAGATATTTTGAAGAATGCTGAATGCCACTGATGTTTATGGTATTTGTTTTTCCTGCTATAAAAGTTCATGGTATTCAGCATTCTTCAAAATATCTTCTTTTTATTCATCTCTCCTCTGTTGAACATAAAATAAAATATTTCGAAGAATGCTGAATGCCATTGATGTCCATAGTATTTGTTTTTCCTACTACGGAAGTTTATGGTATTTAGCATTCTTCAAAATATCTTATTTTTATCTTCTTTTCTTTCCTCTGTTGAACACAAAATAAGCTATTCTAAAGAATGCTGAATGCCATTGGCGTCCATACTATTTGCTTTTCCTACTATGGAAGTCAATGGTTACTGGTTTCTAACATTATTCAAAATATTTATTTTGTATTTGACATAAGAAAAATAATAATAACGGTTTATAAAAACTTGAAGGCAGTAAATAGAGTTAATAATAAGTGAGTAAATTAATTTTCATTTTTGGGTGAACTGTCTCTTTAAAGGTCTCTTTAGTTTACTCAAGTCTGACTGCAATCTATAATTAAGCAGTGACTTAAGTATTCATGTGGCCTAGTAAACGAGCGTTGAGTTTTCTGGCAGGCCACGCCGTCGATAACACGTGTGGAGGATAAAAAGAGAAGCTGTAAAACTGTCACACTTGTGTTTTAAAGTCTCTGCAGCACTGAAAAATGATTCACTGGATTTACTCAATGTTTTGAAGGTAAGTGGTTACAATTGATTTATACGAGCTGAATTTAAACAAACAAATAAAGTTGATCGTTACTACATTTAATTTGTTTGTGTAAATTCAGCCCATATCAATTGCTTGCAACCACTTACCTTTAAAAAAAAAAAAAAAAGTAAATCCAATGAATCTTTTTTCTTTTCAATGTTTTTAGGGGGGGTTACGTTCTGCTGGTGATAGCATCTTTAATTAAAGCTTGCTCTGACAGCGCACAGACTCTGACTGTCAGTGTGTGCGTCTCCAGTGGATCGTGCCTGGAGTTTATTATGAGCGTCTCATTGTGTTGAGTCCTTTTCTGAGCTTCAGTAGTAGGAATGGATTAGGATTAACGTCATTTTGGCAGCTAGATCCCCTACTTGGAAAAAAAAAATGAGAGAAAAGGTTTTCGGTCAAAGTTCAAAAGATTTTTTTTTCAACCCTCACAATAAATATGAGATTCTGTGAGTATTTATTTCCCTTAGGATATTCTAAACCTGTATGACATTATCTCCTTTTACAGCAGTAAATTTCTGTAAAATTACCAGAACAACTTCACAGTTTTTTTAAAGGGGCCTGTTCATACTTGATCTCTTTTCTGAGAAATTACTGGTAACTTCTTTCTGTAAAAGTCTGTGTGTGTGAAAGGGGCTTTTATTTTAGTAGAGCGCAGAGATGATATGTCCAATCATTCATTCTTTTATTCATTCATTTTCCTTCGGCTTAGTCCCTTTATTTATCAGGGGTCACCACAGCAGAATGAACCACCAACTTACCCTGGATAAGTTTTTTCTTTCAAGGTTTAAAGTTGCATGAAGAAAGCTCAAGATCCCACAATGCAATTCAAAATCATAAATAAATGGGGGAAAAATATGAATAATAAAAACTGCTAATTCACAGATATTTTTTGACACTGGATAAAACATATAAATGATTATAAACTTATAGATAGATGCTGACACAATACTAAAGCCTGAAAGACTATCAGAGTAAGAGCTGAACATAAACATCCAGCCAAAGAAAGCTGGCAGTTAAAAGAGAAGCTTCTGAATCACCATTCTGCAAGCCATTACAAGGCATACTCTGTTCATGTAAGTGGTAAATCAGCTGTGGCGATGAAGCTGCGCTAATTCATTTCCTTCTCCAGGCGTTTGGCCAAATATTGCTCAGCACTGAAAAAGGAGCTCTGGCTGTTTTCTAGCACCACTGGACTGAAACAGGAGAGTTTGGCTTTCAACAGCAATGAAAGTCAACCTTTTTTAAAGCCCTGAACGGCCTTTTGTCCTTTTTTTCCATAAACTTCATGCATTATTTATACGTGAGCAAACTGAATATTGCGGATCACTTGTGAACAATGTTGCAATGTTTCTGCACATGCACATCATGCAATCTTGCATCATTATATTGCTGCCAGAGCTGCTGTATTTGCTCAGGTGTGACCAAATGTCATAAAACACACGAGATAATCAATCATTTAGTCCAAAGGTTGTGTCGCTGTAGGGATGAAATGATAGTGAGTTTTGAGAAAAGTCTCACAAAACCTGTTGAGATTCTCTTTAAAATATATTTATAGGTTGGTTATACATATGTATGGTTATATATATATATATACACATACAGGGCTTCACATTTACTTTTTTAATTACCAGCCGCTGTGGCTAGTAGTTTTTCAACATTACTAGCCACTTTCCATTTTCACTAGCCACAGTTTTGTTGTTTGAAAAATATATTTTATATGAATAAATGTGATTTGGCATGCTAAAATCACTACTTTGATTTAGATGTTGTGTTGTCCACATGCCTCCTCATTTAATTTACTGCTTGTGTGTGTTGTGTGTGAGCTTGCTCACTGTGCATGAGCAAATGGGTTGTGTCGCATTGCAATTAGTTTTTATTTCACTTGACTTTTTTAGGGCTCAAAATTAAGGATTTACCAAATTTATGTCCGACCACACCAAAAAGAAATAATTACTTCTTAGACTCACATTTCAAATGTGTCAAAACAAGGAAAATACAGCTGCATTTTTCAACAAAACTTTTCATTTTTTAAAAATTGACATTTAAAAAGATCTATTGTCATGTATCTACAATATGCACAGTGATCTGTCCTGGCTAAAAGTCCCAGATCAGCAATTAACTACACATAAATGGGGAGTTAATCTCCCAATAAAGCAATGTTATTGTAAAGGATGATAATAAAAATATATTAACAAAAAAAAAACTGTAAGCAAAAGAAAACAGGTGATACATACCGTGTGTGACAATGAAAGGATGATCAGGTGCCTGAGAATTAAAATGAAAACAGTGACTGCTGCTGCTTACAAAAGGATATATATATATATATATATATATATATATATATATATATATATATATATACACCAATATATATATATATATACCAATCGCACCAGTTGCGTTTCTTCTACACACGGTTGTTTCGCGCAAGTAAACGGGAGTAATCATCCTTTCACAAAGTATTCACCTGCTTTTGCTCACACAAACACAGTGATTTTTGTCAGTCGTGCTGCTTCTCGATTCTAAGCTCACATTTGCATGCATATTTTGCCATCTTTATTGTCGCCTGCAGCTGTACGGCTGTATCAGGCTGGCTGTACGCACTGTGCTTATCTACCATGAGAGGACGGGAATTAATGACGCTTTTTATTTTTGAATTTTTTTATGACATCATTTAAATTGATTATTAAACCGTATACACTACAGCTGCTTTTCGCTGGCCCACCACATTCTTACAAACATATCTTATTTATTAAAGTTATTATTTCATTGACTTGAATATAATTACCCACCTATAATATAATTATTAACCCGTCATCTAAAATCTTAGAATCATAAAATAGCCTATTATTTTATTCGTGGCTAGAGCTTGATTAATTTGATTGACATCCTAGGCAACTTTACTTCAAAGGACTGCATGTGAGTTTATTGTAACGCTGTATTTTGGTAGCACAAAAACTGGTGCTCGCTGCAGAGCCATTTGAGCAGAGCTGAGCTCCAGCGAGGGGGAGCATGAGCTCCCGCTCTGCCTCCTGTAAGCTGTTTTAATGCGTACACCAACCCCACCCTAACCCTACCCCCAGTGACATCACTCGTATAAGAAGTGCAAAAAAGGTGGAGCTCAAGCTCCCCCTCGCTGGAGCTCAGCTCGCCCAAATGGCTCTGCAGCGAGCACCACTTGGCAAAAACTCGCTCTGATCTGGGAGAGAAATAATAGCACTTTTCAAAGGCCAAACTTAATTCAAAGGCCAACAGCTTGTTTTGTAATTTAATGCCAGCTATACCCCCTGAAGGATGGTTATGGTGTGTTGTGATGTTGGCCGTCACAGTAGAAAGCCAAATCTTTCTTAAATTTTTTTAGACTTTTGTTTGAAAGCTTTAGTGGCACTGTAGCTGTCCAAGGTACTGTTGTATGATTTAAATTATAGCCTATATATGCACCAATAAACAAGTCAAAGGAATGAATGAAAAAATGTAATAAATATGGATTCTTAAATGTCAATATTGTTTTAACTCAAAAAATAAATAAATAAAATAATAATATAAGTTGGACATTTATGCATGGGGCCATGTAACATGTTTTTGTGTGTTTTTTTTTTCTGTGATCTTTAATACATACTGGGTATCTATCTACGCAAAAATAATTTCTAAAATGTCAACTAGGAATTTGTCTATAGCTTTAATTATGAAGTCAATAAATGATTAAAAATAACAAAAATAAAGTTATAAAAATACAAAGATAAAAAGAGCAGCATTTTGCTAAATATAACAGTGCTTGATATGCTTTATATCTTGCTATGTGTTGTTTCATATTCGTTTTTATTTCACTTGATGCATTCGTTATTTAACGTTTGAATACTGAAATAAATATAACAGCCATTGTTAAAATGGTTAATACCTTTACCAATCAGGGGTCGCCACAGTGGAATGAACCGCCAACTTATCCAACATATCTCTTACGCAGAGGATGCCCTTCCAGCTGCAAACCATCTCTGGGAAACTCATACACAACGGACAATTTAGCCTGCCCAATTCATCTGTACCGCATGATTTTGGACTATGGGGAAGAGACTTTGCTTTAAACCGGATCACCCAGAGAAAGCAAACGCGGGGAGAGCATTCAAATTCCACACAGAAATGCCAACTGACCCAGCCAGGGCTTGAACCAGCGACCTTCTTGCTGTGAGGCGACAGCGCTAACCACTGAGTCACCATGAACAATGTAACAAATATGCATAAATAGATTTTAGATACGTTATACGTTGTCAGTTGTTGATGTCGGATGTGTTTTGTCTGATTTTCCGGTTTCTGGGTTTTCTTTTTGTTCATCAAACACTGCTTGATAAACCACACACTGCACTCTGATCCGCCCTTCGTGTTGTATTTCCCTCTAACCATTCTAAGCATGCAAACAGATAGGCCTGGTTGGACAGACATGAAAATCGATAAACATGTAACAATTCACCCACTCACGAAAACATATTTATACAAATATACAGTAAATCACTCACTCGCTATCCTTCGGGTTAGCCCATGATTTATGCAGAGGTCACCACATCAGAATGAACCACCAAACCTAAATGGTTTCCCTACAGAAAAACCCAGCTTAAACCAGCCTAGGCTGGTTGGCTGGTTTTAGCTGGTCAACCAGCCTGGTTTTAGATGGGATTTGGCCATTTCCAGCCTGGGCTTAGCTGGTCAGGCTAGGAGATGACCAGCTAAAGCCAGGCTAGGAGTTCAGCCAAAACCAGCTATGTCCAGCTTAAACCAGGCTGGTGAAGCTGGTTTTAGTTGGATTTAGCTGGTCATTTTGCAGCCTGACCAGCTAAGACGAGGCTGGAAATGGCTGGAAACCAGCCTGGAAATGGTCAAAACCCCTCTAAAACCAGGCTGGTCGACCAGCTAAAACCAGCCAACCAGCCTAGGCTGGTTTAAGCTGGATTTTTCAGCAGGGTTATGAGGCGGATGCCCTTCCGGTCGCAACCTTTATCTTTTATAAGAATAATTTCTCTGTTAATTTTTTGATAAACACGATTTATTTTTTAGATTTTAACCTGTTTTCCGCTGATTGACGCTGAGGACGTCTCTAGTTTTCCTGTGAGACAGCTGCGTGAATCGCGGTGCTGTCAGAGCTGTTGTCACTGGTTCATCTTTTGTGTCCATCAGGATGCTGTGGGTTGTGTTGGCAGTGGTGGTGGTGTTGGCATCTGTCCTGGTACTCCTCCGTCAGAGCAGTGGTTTGCTGGCGCTTCTCTGGCACGATGTGGTCCATCAGCGGCTCCTGAACTTCTTCACAGGACTATCACGACCACAGGTGACTCGCACACTTTACTACACTGTAAAATATCCGTAAATGAGAAGTTTTCCGTATTTTTTGATTCCTGTTTTTGTTTGTCCATGTTTATTTATGCTTTTGATTTGCATCATAGATCTATGGAATTGCATTAGGGGCGCGCGAGGCCCAATTTAACGCGGGGTAGAATGTAACACGGAGTTTTAAGTTGTCATGGCATGCTTCCAAGGTTTTCACCGCAGTGTCGGCAGACGTCTTGCCAACTAATGAAAAAGTTTGGCGAAATTTGGATGAGAAACACAGGAGAAATCATTTTTGCGGCATAAACGTATTTTATCACAGTCCATATTTTTTTAATTGAAAAAAATCTGTGAAAGTAGGCTATGTACATAAAACCTTATATTGTTGTGCATGGGATTGTATCACATGTGTGGAGGAGCAGTCTCTGCGTACACCTCTTTAGCACAACTGTTTCCTCCAGCGAAAAATGTAATTCTTAATGAACATTTGGCTATTTTTATTTTAAAATGAACTACCAATATTAAACACTTAACAGTTCGTGTGGCATTAACTACCATACAGTCTTGCACAGAAAGGATTAAACACAGTGACAGAAGCACTCGTTTAACTGTCACGGTCACCGACAGAGATTGAAACATCAAGTGTTGTATAGTATTAAAACTAGCCTACTTTTTATTTATTATTATCATTCAGATCATAAAGTATGTGAATGAGCCTGTAAGTTTAAAAATATAATTATATGTCATTTAATTAGAAAAGTGGCAGTTTATTTATTTAATACATGAAAACAAAAAAGGCACCATTACAAAGTGTTTTTTACTACAGTAAACAGGTAGTTTGAGCCTGGCTTACTCAGAACTCAAATGGCTGCGACTGTCTCTGTAATACAGTGGAATACTAGTATACAACCCATATTAAATAAACATTTTTAAGTGTTTTACTATTAAATTACTACTTATAAATTTAATAGTAGGCTTTATATATATATATATATATATATATATATATATATATATATATATATATATATATATATATATCAATCAATCAATCAATCAATCAATCAATCAATCAATCAAGCCTTTATTTGTCACTACACTTTCGTATAGCGAAATTGGACCCCCCAGACCATACACAAAACATCACAAACAACTTTTCAAGGGAGACAGATCTTAGGAGGTAGCATTTAGAAACGAAGAAAGATACATTTGGACAGTTAGGCTAAAAAACACCCCCTCAGCTTGCCCTTGATTAGGACAAAGTGAGAAAAGGGAGAAAAACAGCCCTATCTTAGCATAAGCACACCGACAAGACACAACATAGACAGAGGGGATGGGAACAGGGGTAATGGAAAACAGTCCGTTGAGTGCGGGCAGCCAACTGGTCCAGCAGCCATTTCCGGCGCAAGTCACAGCCCCGCCCACGCCCCACGTGGGTAAAAGCACACGAAGGCGTTTGGATGGGGATCAGTGGTGAATGTTTATCTGTAGATATGTTTGTGTGTGTGTGAGCCTGCATAGTCCAGAGTCACGCAGGTGTCCTTGACAGGGGCAGGAATTTCAGAGCGTCCGCTTATCTTGCTTATCCCAGGGAGTTGTTTACTTCCAGCCGAGGCCGTCTGGCAGGAGTAAGAGGAGAGCCGAAAAAAAAGACAGTAAGATACTTCCACTTTAGGTCAATATCTGCCAATTTCACAGATATTTAATGTCCATCACTCGTCTCCCGATCTGGCCAAAATTTGTTGCAGAGCCGCTAGCTTCACCTCCATGGTTTCCAGTTTTCGGTCAAGGACCATAGTCTGATTCGCGACCCTACCCATCAGTGTTTCAATCAAGCTGGCCAGCCTAGTGGAGTTTTGAGCTGCGCTGACCGCTTTTATCAGTTTCCGATATCCCAGGGCCCCGCATAAGCCCATCAGCAGAAACCCTGTTATCAAAGTTCCGAATAGGTAGATATCTTCAATATCCTCCAGAGACAGAGCAGCTAGACAGAGGACTCTCCACTCTCCACACAATATATATATTAAGCTCACTGAAGAATCTACAATTACTTACTGGCAGCAGTTCGCTAGTAACTTACTTTAAGTCAGTTACAGAAAAGATACTGCATTTACATTTACAGCACCACTTATCTTGCTGTATATGCAGGGCCGGCGCGTCCATAGAGGCGACCTAGGCGGCCGCCTAGGGCGGCAGTATAGAGAGGGCGGCGTCTACGACACCTCCCTTACCACCTGCGTTCTCAATTTTGTCCGCGACACCTCCCCCGCGTCATCAGATATATTCGCGCATAGACGATAGAATAGAGAGGGCGGCGTCAGCATCACTTCCATCAGCACCCGCATGTCCTCATTTGAATCCACGCATAGGGCGGCAGAATAAAGAGCGCAGTGTCCGCGACACCTCTCTCCCTCCCTCCCTCAGCACTTGCGCGTCCTCAGTTATATCCGCGCATAGGGCAGCAGAATAAAGAGCGCAGTGTCCGGGACATCTCCCTCCCTCAGCACCCGCGCCTCCTCAGTTATATCCACGCATAGGGCGACAGAATAGAGAGGGCGGTGTCCGCCAGTCCGCGACACCTCCCTCCCTCCCTCAGCACCCGCGCGTCCTCAGTTGTATCCGCGCATAGAGCGCCGGAAAAGAGGTCAGCGACACCTCACTTCATTTTCATAACCGGTCACTTTCGTTTTCACATTGGGGTTGAGGGCGGCGTGATCGTCCTCTGCCTAGAGCGGCAGTTCAGCTTGCTCCGGCCCTGTGTATATGTATTCATACAGCAGTTCTGTCTGGTTCATGAATCTGATTGGCTGATAGCCGTGCAATATTCTGCCAGTAACAGCACTCGCCCAGCCTCTTAACCCTTCTCCCTTGTGTATTACTCCGCCCACTTACAGCAACAAGCAGAGGACACTTTACAGCAGGGATCACCAAACTTGTTCCTGGAGGGCCAGTGTCCTGCAGATTTTAGCTCCAACCCTAATCAAACACACCTGAACAAGCTAATCAAGGTCTTACTAGGTATACTTGAAACACCCAGGCAGGTGTGTTGAGGCAAGTTGGAGCTAAACCCTGCAGGGCAACAGACCTACAGGAATGAGATTGGTGACCCCTGCTCTACAGTTTGACAAATATTGCTGCTGTTGGACAACATAATGTACTTTTGAGGCTTTTTATCTCGAAAATGTAGTTGTTTATATTGTATCTATGCAGTTTATTTATAAGGATAGTGTCTATTTTAAAATATTTACAATTTCTGAGACAGCACGTCAGCGGCCATTAGCCTGTCTTTGAACAAAGATGGTTGACGATTTTCATCCACAAGATGGTGACAGATATCCTATAATAATCCCTAAGAGAAAAACAGCGTGATTTTAAATTACAGCTGATCAAATCATTATTAATCTGGTAAATGACTTTCTAAGTCAATTTCTCTCTTTGTATGTTGTAGTGCTATATTTATACCATAGTAATATGGTGATCTCCCGATTACAACAGAGAAATACTGGGAGATATCTCCATAGACTGATGGCATTTCATGTAGTTCAGCCTTATAATCCTAAAATGTAAACAAAATCACCCGCTTTGTCATCACTTTAGACATTACGCTAGAGAATCATTCAAACACTAGCTTTAAAGTGACGTGTTTTGAGCAACAGTTTCTACTGTTCTGATGTCAGCTGCAGATGTGAATGAGTGGCTGAAGAAAGTAGTTCCTCTTCTAAAAAGGTTTTTAGACTCTCCGTGTTTGATTTTCTTTTTATACACACAATTATGTCGTCGAACTGTTGTATAAATGCAATATCACATGAGTAGCAGTGCGATGTGGCTGTATATCATCACTGGTGGGACACTAAGCACTCCTCCCACCAGTGCCAATATACAGCCACATCGCACTGCTACTATCTTTACTGTGAAATCATCAGTCATTTTCACAATGCAACTTTAAAATACAGTAACATACTACTTAACTGTCCTACAGTAAAATACAGTTCATATTACAGTTAATTACTGTGTAATTTACAAAAATCCCTAACAGTGTTAAAAAGTCCTTCCGCCTTTGTTTTGAACATGTAGTTCTGTCGTCGCTGTGCTGAAATTTGTTGCTTGTGTGTTACTTGTGTGAACGTAGCGCATCTTGAAAGCCGTCCAAAAAAACGCCACTAAAGGAAACCCAGAGAGCGTCATCGCCGCCATTGACCACTATTGCAGACACAGCGAATGGGCCATGAATGTGGGCGACGAGAAAGGTATAGCAGCTCTCCTTTTCATTTGCCTGATTTTCATTATTCTCTCTCTCTTCTTTGAGTAAATGGCCTTAAGGCTGCTCATGGTCGGCTGTTCTGAATGAGAAGTGATGGCAGTCTCCTGTCTACTGGCTCAATACACTCTCTGCATGGATGCACACTAGTTGCACATACAATTATTAGCCCTCCAGTGACATCTCTATTCTTTTTAATTCTTCCAATATTTTCATGGTTTTTCCTTTTCTTTCTCCTTCAGGGGAACGTCTTATTTCTTTTAATTTGACTGGGAAAAAAAGGAGTCTCATTCTTTAACATTAATTTTTAAGGTTAACATTACTGGCCTCCTAGGATTTATTTTTACTGATTGGTTACAGAACAAACCACTGTTGTCCAATGACTTGCCTAATTACCCTAATTGACTGTTAACAACATCCTCTACGACACAATAATGTATTTACACTTATTCAATTTAATTAAAATTTATTTGTTAAGCGCTTTTCACAATAATTATTGTTACACGGCAGCTTTACACTAGGTGCATATTATTGCATTGCAATCAAACTTGGAAAGGTTAGGGTTATTAGTTAACATAACTTTTTTAGTTACTAATAACTAACCAATTAGTTAAAGTTATTATATATAAACAGTGAAAAAATGCAGTAACATACTGCATACCTGCCCTACAATAAAATAAACTTTAAATCACAGTTAAAAACAGTTTACAAAAATCAAAGTGTAGTTCAACCTTTAAATTACTAGTTGAATATTATGAACTTTATTTCTGCTATTAACTTTAGTCTAAGCAAAGTCAGACCTTACTGTCCTAATTAAATAATTAAAAATCAAGGCATGCTCATATTGTTTTCTGGTAAAATAAGCTTAATCTAAAGGCCTTTGCCCTTCATATAAGCCACTTCTGATACCAAATGATCAACTAGAAGTCAAGTTATTACTTGTTGTTCCCAAAACTTGAATAGGCGGCAAGACTTTTGTCAGGTAATGTAGTGTATTTTTAGAGGATTTTATCTAATTCAGTGACAATATTACACCAACAATACACATACACTGTTAGACATTTATTGTATTATTGCTGTAACTTATTGGCAGCAGTTACCATTAACTGCCTCTTTACAGTAACTTGCATGGAAATGTGCTTTACACTATAGCAGGACCCTATTGCAATACCATTTTACAGTAAAAAAGCCTTATTGTAAGTTCTTTTTATGGTAAAATTCCCTTTACCACATTTTAATTTTTCAGTATGACGATTTTTACAGTACTTTTACTGTAATTTATTAACATTTTACACTGGCATCAGTGTACAAAATATTTATTTATAGTATTTACTGTTGAATTTAAAAAAATCCAAACTCCAAACAAGTGGATGAGATCATGTACAAAAGCATTTTTTATTATTCACTGTTATTATATCGATTTTAATGGGGTATATGCCGAAGCATGCTAATAGGACTTTTAATTTGAAAGCGCTGGGTTAAGCGCTTCCAGCTAATTGAATGCCAATGCAAAATCCGGTGCGTTTAAGGTCCGTTTTCTTTAAAAATCAGCGATCTCCACTAGCTGAGTGATATCCGATTTAAAGTGGGTATCAGATTGTATAAGAAGCACTGCATTAAATTACATTTCCCCCGCCATATCTTTATATTATGAGCATTTATTTTACCCCAGTATAATCAATGGAGCTTCTGTGTTAGCCTGCCGATTCTGACGGGTGCGTGCGAGTAAACAGCTTTTTGTCTCGTTTTACGCTTGAGCAACTAAATAAATGTTAATGTTTATTTAACTGAATGTATTTTAATGACATTACAACATCAATGCTGTATAAGGAACCGTATAAAATGGAAAAAAAGTTCACAATAACAGGTCACCGGAAGTGTATCAGCGTGGGAACAGCACTAGCTCGGCATATACCCTATTAGTTTACAAAAGTAATTTTCATTGATCAATCTATTTTAAATACATTTTGTGGTACAAGATAAACATATTTTTTCATTTACTGTCTCATTTTTGTCTTCAACTACAGTAGCGATACTTGATTACTATGATTACAGTAGAATACTGCAAATTCCTAGTATGCAGTAAGTTACTGTAAAAGTTATAAAATTACCCCATTGAAGTAGTGAACTATAAAAAATTATGTGGTATTTTTACTGGCCATTTTTACTGTAAAACTGCAGCAAAACCTATGTTGTTGTGCCCATTAGCAGCTCAATTTCATGTGTGACAACAGAACTGATGCATAAACAATAGCACAGAGCCGCTAATGGGGCATTAATGATATTTCTCCTGTCATTATCCACCTCATTGCGTGTCACTGTGTGTGTCTGAAGGCCTCATACTGGATTCAGTCGTGACAGAGGTGAATCCCAGCACGGCTCTGGAGCTCGGTACATACTGCGGATACTCTACTGTTCGCATCGCTCGCCTGCTCTCCCCTGGAACAAAACTCATCACACTCGAATTTAACCCAGACTACGCTGCTATTGCACGGCAGATAATCGCCTACGCTGGCCTTCAGGACAAGGTGAGGAAAGTATTAGTAGTGAACTTTTGAATCAAACAAAAATTAGACATTGGAGAGGGGTCTAGCTGCAGACCGGGTGCACATCATGCAAGCTGAGACAGCATGCAATGCTTTTAATGCTTACACCTAACCCTGCCCCTAACACTACCCCTCACAGTGACGTCACCAACTCTATTGAGTGCATGTGTCTGAGCTTGCATGTGCATACTGAAAAATGATCAAGAACGGGTGTTGCTAGTTTTAGGAGAACTTTGATGAAAGGTTTTGGCTCAGTGGAGTTTGCATGTTCTCCCCATGTTGGTGTGGGTTTCCCACACTGTACAAAGACATGCTCTATAGGTAAGTTGAGTAAACAAAAATGGCAGTGTTGTATTAGTGCGTGTGGGAATAAGAGAGTGTTTGGGTGTTTGCCAGTAATGGGTTGCAGCTGGAAGGGCATCCACTGCGTAAAACATATGCTGAAATGGTTGGCGGTTCATTCCGCTGTGGTGACCTCGGATAAATAAAGGTCTAAGCCGGAGGAAAATGAATGAAATTTCTTCATCCAGTGGATAAAAAGGCAAATGGAAAGTTGCTGAAGTGAGTCTGGGAAAATAAATACTGAAGTGAATCTGGTCGACAGCAGAAACCACAGGCTGTTATTGGCGCTTAACAATGTACCGATAGTTGTGAAATATTATCAGACCAACTGTTGTCTGAATTATTTTTGCTTGACTGTAATCCATTACATGATGTGCCTTTTTATTAATGTTTTCTGTTTTTTCAGGATACATTTTGGTTATAATAAGATTTAACCCTTTATTACACAGATGTTGTAGATTCATTGATATTTATATCAATATATTTTTGTTCTTGTATGAATGGTGTGTTTAAGTCATGTCTGATAAATTCAATTTGTATATCGCTTTTACAATGTAGATTGTGTCAAAGCAGCTTCACATAAATGGTCATAGTAATTGGAACAGTGTAGTTCAGTTTTTAGTGTTTCAGTTCAGTTCAGTTTAGCTCAGTTCAGTGTGGTTTAAAATCATTACTGAGAGTCCAAACACTGAAGAGCAAATTCATCGATGGGTAGCTCTACTGATCCCAAATCATGTAAGCTAGTGGCGACAGCGGAGAGGAAAAAAATAAATAAATTTAAGTATTGAACGCACATGATCACCAACACATAGTTATTTTTTAAAAATAGGAAACTTAATAATTGCTTTAACCTCCATTTTAGAGTTTCTGCTCTTTAAATAAATACAGCAAAATTCATTTTATTGATCAATAAAATGTATATTTGTTTATTAATACCATATTGTAATTGTCTATAATAGAAAATTATATTTATCATTATATATTGTATCATATATTACATATCAGTGGTTCTCAAAATGTGGTATGTGTACCACTAATGGTACGCGAAGAAATACTAAATAATAAAATAAAAAATAAAAACATACACTTTTAAGCCACTGACGCGAGCGATTGCACTGATGTGATCAGCACTGGCTGATCTCTGAAGTGTACAATAACATCGGTGTGCTTAGAAGCTAAAAATCACCCCGCTTTGGAGCAGGGCCAGAGGCGTGCTGCGCTTGCGGAGCAGATACACGCTAGAGAAGTGCTTCTGCACACCAGTGCTGTTGTGTTGGCATTTCAGTTACTGCAAACTCAGGAATCTCCCCATGCTGCATCACTGATAAAATTGTGTTCATAAATGTGTTAAATGTGTTCGTAGTTGTGTAAAATAATGCGTTTTCGATATATCAAGTAATTTGTTTTGTAAAGCAGCGTGGCTGTCGATTAATTTGTTACCTAATTATTTTTTTAGGCTAATTTTTCTTGATGAGATTCAAATGTCGCGGGACACAGAACACAGACTCAAGCAACTTTGCCTTGCTTGAAGCTAGAATATAACATAAATAAAGTTAGTCCCTGTGTGCGCTTAACACAAACTTCACTATTCGCTTAAGATGAGATCTCAAATCAGTGAAATTCTACACGTATGAATGGATAAATCACGTATGAATTGGTCAAGCTGTGTATTTATGCATATAATCCCCCACTTTTCTGACACACATACTGTAAAGGACGCGCAATAAGCAGATCTCATTTCTAATTTAAACATGTAATTACGAATCATTTATTTTTTAATAGAAGATAATGTCCAGATTTACAAATAGGTCATGTGTACATGCAACATATTTCATAATTTATATTTCTATATGAATATGATGACATATAGCCTATATTTATGAGGTCTAAGCAACATTTCCAGGTTTTAATGAATAGGCTACTATTTGTTAATACTTTACATTTAAGTACAGCAGTTTTCTTTTTACTTTAAGAACAGCAGCCGGCTATTTTAATTAACTTTTAAAAGCACATTTTAAACGTTGACTTTTTATTTAGTTTTTGTTTTTTTTACCTGTAAGCACAGTACAGTGTTAATGTTCAAACTATTTATAATGTTTAAAGTGGCTGACAATAATAAATATTCTTAATAATAGGAATTAATCTGCCTCGTCATTATGGAGGTACTTGGAAGGACAATTTTTTTCTGAGGTGGTACTTGATGAAAACAGTTTGAGACCACTGATATATATCATTACTTTACGTTTTGCTTGTTTTAAGGAAAAATTTCAACATTTCTGTAAAGAAAATATTTTTTACTTGTCTATAAAATACTTCATGAAGCATTGATGTTTGGAGTAGAAACAAGACAAACATTTTATATAGGAAAAACTTTATTTGGACAATTTCTTTGCAATTAATTGTTAAATTTACTGGTAAGCTATAATTAAAAAACATATTTCAGTGTATGAATTGAACGCATGAAAAAGAACAATTTGGTTCTAGAGCGCGACCAATTAACTAAAAACAAATCTGAGGTCACACCGGTGTGACCAGCCATTCAAGGGCAAAAAGGCCCATGTCAGGGTGTAACCAATCAGAGATAGTGAAGACAGTAGTAAGTTACCTTTCTTGTAGGATTGTGCTTTAAATAAAGAACTTTTTTGACTGGATTGTTAGTTAATTATCTACTAGTCAATATTGCCTGTATGAATAGCGATAAAAGAAAAAAAAAAGTGAATTTGTAAAACTGCAGGATTAAATGCGACACAGTTGAAAGTTTAGGGGCACCTACCTTTTGTTATGCGCACCAGTGCAAAAAGTTAGTCTACAGCCCTGTTGGTTATTTTGTAGGCATATCACAAATCAAATTTTCACAGGACTAAAGATGTATTTTTAAAGTATTTTTTGTTGTTGTTGTTCTTGTTTAAGGTTATTCTAGTTGAGGGACCCTCAGGTGATCTGATCCCCAAAATGAAGCAACAACATGGAATCAAATCTTTCGATTTTGTGTTTTTGGATCACTGGAAAGATCGTTACGTTCCAGACACCAAACTCCTTGAGGTAAAACCTAAAACACAAATATTGTTTACCTTAACTCAAGTAATGTTTCTAATGCAAGACACTTTTTCAAATATTGCAGGAGTGTGGTTTACTCAGAAAAGGCTCTGTCCTTTTGGCTGATAACGTCATTTGTCCTGGAACTCCAGAGTATCTGAAATACGTAAGAAACGACCCACGCTATGAAAGCCGATACTTCAAGTCCAACCTGGAGTACACCAAAGTAGAAGACGGCCTGGAGAAATCGGTCTTCTTAGGATGAACATCTCATTTCACGATCTCACTAGATGAAGCTGATGCAATGAATGACTGTAAAACTGGGTTGACACCAGCAGAAGAGGAACATTCCAATTCCTGCAAAATGTTTGTGTGTCTCGACATGCCAAGTATCCTTTTGTCCTTAACAAAACTAAGACACAACAATAGGCCTGTCACAATATTCAACAAATCCACTTATCGTGCAATACTTGGAGATGGCCTCAATAATTTTTGCCATTGCAATATATATTTACAAATTCACAAAAAAACGTTAAAGCCGTTTTGTAATGACATTTACATTCTACCTCATAGGTGTCAAAGTTTATAATTGAACATTTACCTAATATGACATTTAATAGTATATAAAGAAGACATTTACCTAACATCAAACTGTACAATCTAAAAAACCTTAAGTATGAGAAGTATTTTAAAGTGTTTATGGCAATTTGCATGATTAGGTTATAAAATAAGTATATATAGACAGGGTGGGCCATTTATATAGATACACCTTAATAAACTTATTGGGAATTTCACAAGAAAAACAATGGTGTGCTTGGTTTTAAACATAACTTTATTCTTTCGTGTTATTTACAAGCCCCCTCACATATACTAATGTGCCACAAGCAGGACCTTAACATCACCAACCATTCCCATTTTATTAAGGTGTATCCATATAAATTGGCCACCCTGTCTATATATATATACAGTTGAAGTCAGAATTATTAGCCCCCCTGTATGAGTAGCGCCCCTGTTTATTTTTTTCCCCGAATTTCTGTTTAACGGAGGGAAGATTGTTTCAACACATTTCTAAGCATAATAGTTTTAAAATCTTACTTCTGATAACAGATTTATTTTATCTTTGTCATGATGACAGAAAATAATATTTTACTTGATATTTTTCAAGACAAGGTTAATAAGGTGAACTAGGCAGGTTAGGGTAATTAGGCAAGTTATTGTATGATGATGGTTTGTTCTGTAGACTATCGGAAAAAAAGTGCTTAAAGGGGCTAATAATTTTGTCCCAAAATTGGTTTTTAAAAAACTACTTTTATTCTAGCCTAAATAAAACAAAAGACTTTTTCCAGAAGAAAAAATGTTATCAGACATACTGTAAAAATGTCATTGCTCTGTTAAACATCATTTGGGAAATATTTAAAAAAGAAAATAAAAATCAAAAGGGGGCTAATAATTCTGACTTCAACTATATACACACACACACACACACACACACACACACACACATATATATATATATATATATATATATATATATATATATATATATATATATATATATATATATATATATATATATATCATATAATCAGTGGCAGATCTCAAAATGAATTTTTGAAAATTGCTTATTGCAACAATTTCTGCAACAACATATCGCACAACAAAAATTCCTTATGTTGACAGGCCTATGCAACGATCTCCATTTACAACATATCTGCCGTGCTGTGGTTGAAGAAATTTGATATATTTTACAAAACGATGTGCTGATATCTTGTACATTTTTTTAAGAAAGGTTGTTTGATAAAGCTATAAAGCACTTCTTTTTCCTACTCAGTGTTTAAAAAAAGGCACATTATTTAATCAAATTGAGTTTAACCCGTAACTGAGCCAATTTTATTGAAAAATTGAAGAGTTGAAAATAATATATAAATATTATATAGTTTGTCAAGAGAAGTTCAGGTTTAGACAAAATGTACTGAAAAACGTCCCAAATTTGGGCAAGTTAAGCATTTAAAAATGTAAAATTTAAAGTAGCACATAAAAATGAGTAATGGAAAAATGCCTAATTTGGAATGAAAATCCCTTCGTTTCAATTTAAAATAAAGTTTTTACACTCACTTGAGTTTGGTTTTAATTATTTGTGAAAGAGTGTTATTGTGAATAATAGGACAACTCCCATGTGACCAATCAGCTTTCTCCATTATACTTGTATTGTTTTTCTGTCAGTTGCTAGGTTACCAATACTACCAACATAGACTCATTCTGAAAACGTAGCCCTACATTCATTTCTGGAGATAGCGAATTGTAGCTAGAGCTACGTATTGCTGCATTTCGTCTTTAAAATAAACTGTACAGGGCGGTATGACGGCATTCCTTTTCTCGCTTACCAGCTGACCGCTTACTTGCATATTTTCCGCTGTTACCATTTTGTCCGGTAGCTCGCCTGTTCATCGGCGGACTTGAGAGTGCGAATGGCAGTCGTGAGAGGAATTTGAGATCTCAAAAAAGACGTACACAGCGGCCTCTGGTGGATTCGCAAAAACAAAAACTGCAAAAAAACGTAGCTCCTAGGACGGATTTTCGTCTCTACATAAATGTATACAGGAGAATGTTTTCAGAATGGGTTGAATACTACAGTGAGCAACTCTAAAAGGTTGTTCACAGCAAGCACAATAACGATAAATATATTTGTTTTCACACAAATGATGGATAATGATCAGTTTATTTTAGGTTATGATTCATATTATTTTAATTGGGCATTATCCCTTGTAACCAGCAGGTGTCCTCAGGTTGCTACTACCGCATCTGAACATATTGAGTGTGTGATGCGTGTAATCAATCTAAACAAACAATGAATTTACGCTCACTCGAGTTTGGTTTTGATCTTTTGTGGGAAAAGAGTTCATGTGAATAATAGAAGACGGAAACGCGTATGCCGAATATACTCTGATGTAGTGAACATTACATCGACATGATCAATCAGCTGTCTCCATTATGCCTGCTTGTTTACAGTCGGTTGCTAGGTTACCAATACTACAGTGAGCAACTCTAAAGGCACGTTCACACCAAGCACGATAACAATAACCAGTGCTGGGGGTAGTGTTGTCATCATACTGGAATTCGATACCAATCGAATACCAATGCTGAAATTTTAAATAAATGTCCATTTCTTGCTAACATTTAAGCACGTTCTTAAACAGCGCTGATTTGCTATCGTGTTCACGTGCTCAACAGAAATGACTGTGATCAGCCGTGAATGTCCTCAGTTTACCGAACACACCACTGTTTACTGAGTGTAACTACAGGCACAGGGACACTGGAGCATTTTAAAGCCGTGAAGATAAGCTCGTCTGTTTATAAGCTGATATTTCAGCAATCCGCGGATGAATCGACTGATCTTCGCAGCTCCCTGGATGTGCTGATATCTTGTACAATTTTTAAAGAAAGATTGTTTGATAAAACTATACAGCACTGCTTTTTCTACTCAATGGTTTAAAGCATTTACTGCAAATTGTTGAATCAAATTATTGAATCAAATCAATTCAATTTTAGACAAAATGTACTGAAAAACATCCCACATTTCAGGAAGTTAAACACATAATAGCCGAGTGACGCTTAAAGTAGCGCATAAAAAAAGAATAATGGAAAAAATGTCCAATTTAGAATACAAATCCCTTTATTTCATTTTGAAAAAGTTTTTACACTCACTCGAGTTTGGTTTTGATCTTTTGTGAAAGTTTTAATTTGAATAATAGGAGACAAAAATGCAGTTGCCAAATAAACTCTGATGTAGCGAAAATAACTCGCATGTGACCAATCAGCTGTGTCCATACATTAATACAAACACTTTGGGGCGGTATGTCGCAGTTCCTTTTCGCGCTACCAGCTGACAGCTTACCTCCGTATGGATGGCTTTCCCGCTGTTACGTTTATCTGCTAGCTCGACGCACGTTGGCAGACTTGAGACACAGAGCAGACCACGACTATGCTCTGACGCCTTTAAACGCCACCACGCGTTCATTGCGTGTCAGCTTAGTATTTTATTAAATTCATTTATTAAATAAAGAAAAACATTCACGCAGCTTTTCCTACCGCAGGAAATTCCAATTTTACTTTTGATATTTGGCCCCAGTTAATCAGGAAGTGATGATTTTGCTCTCTTTGACTACTTGGATGGAAACGCTGCTTTATTCATGTCTTATATACGAGATTCCAGTTAGCGCATAAATTTAATTAGCATATTAAGAAAGAAACATAGCTAGAACTTCCATTACAGTTTAAACACATTTTTTCTTATCAAACAAAAAAGTTTATTCTACTCGGTTATGTGCATATCTTACTCTGTTATGTGCACATCCTACTCGGTAATGTGTATTTTTAGATTTTATGAGCATCTTGGCGTTTCCATCAACCTTTTTTTATGTGCATATTCATAATGTGCATAAAATAGGGGGATGTAACCATAGCTAGTGTTTCCTGTGTGTTTAAATTAAGCAAGAATTTAATTTTCAATTTATTCTGACTGGTTGTTGAAAAAATTGTTCCAAAAGTGATCCCACGATATGGTCCTTCTGTATCTTTATCGTTGTAGTTGTTGTGGTCTGAACTATGCTATCCTTAAATACTGTGAATGACTTTCAGAACTTTATCATTATATTCATAATTATCGTGCTTGGTGTGAAAGGGCCTTAAATTGATGAAAAGCCACCTAATTCACAATTGGGATATTAGTCGTTTTTTTTAATAATGACAGATTTTTAGCCTTGTTTTTCAACAAAATTACTTTGGCATGACACAGAATCAGTGTATAAATTCATGAACCAGCAATCCAATATTGTTTCAGAAGACATCATTGAGAAAATAAAGACTTTTCCAGAATGATAGTCCACTGTTTTAACTCGCACTGAACTGAGCTAAACTATTCCGGTTACTATGACCATTTATGTGAAGCTGCTTTGACACAATCTACATTGTAAAAGCGCTATACAAATAAAGCTGAATTGAATTAACTGTTAAAGATATAAAATCAGAACAATCTACTGTGGGTTATGTCTGTTCTGTCAAAGTGTTGTGAACTATGCTCTTCTTTAACACTGTGATTGACTTTTACAACTATCTTTTTCATTATATTAATAGTTATCGTGACGTGCTTGGTATGAATGAGCGTTAACAACTTGATGAAAACCCACCTAATTCACAATTGGGATATTAGTCGTTTTTTTTAATAATGACAGATTTTTAGCCTTGTTTTTCAACAAAATTTGACATTCAGTTTCTTTTCAAGGGAAAATAAAGACTTTTTCAGAATGATAGTGCAGCGTTTTTACTGCTGAGATATATAAATCAGAACACTCTGCATGTGAGTTACATCTATTCTGTCAAAAATGCTGCAAAACATGAGTTTAGAATCTGTACGTTGCCAAATAATCTGAAAAATGCATCTCAAATACACAAGAAAACTCCTTGATTATACTCTGTGGTGTCAACGAAAGCTGAAAGCACCTGAACGTTCTCAGCGCATCAATCCCGGGCTTTGCTACTGCTGAAGATCTTGGCCAGGAGGGATACGTTGGATTGTGCTTTGTCCTGGATGCTTTTGCTCTTCTCTTGCGCCTTCTGGAGGCTCTTCTTGGAAATGCCTTTGCTCTTAAAGCGTTTCAGGTGGATCTCCTCCTCTGTAGGACGCTGTTTGTAGTCCCACGTTTTCTCCTCCACGACCTCTCCCTTCTTCGCCCTCTTCTTCCGGAGTTTCTCCAGGCTCTGGCTCTTTTCCACGCTGGCCAGGTAGAAGTTGGTCTCCTTCTTAGCCTGAGAGATTTCGGTCCTCATGCGCTGGTGATAAACTGTCTGTTCGTAGGCCAAACGCTCGCTGAGATGACACCACTGGAACCTGTGCAGATACTTAATGGAAGAGAGGGATGCTATTGTTCAATACACTGCTTTTTGAAATCAAATGTATTCAAAGTTTATGAAAGAAGTCAGCAAGAGTGCATTTAATTGCTTGGACATGCAGTAAAATCATTACAATTATGAATCGTCAATGCTCAAGAATTGTGCACTACACCATCAATTATATTTTTGTTTCCTTATATTCCTAGATCATTTGAAGTACTTTATCTAGGAGATACTCCTGATAATCTTAAAAAGGAAAATAAATATCTATTTAAGATATTTTTGGCAACAAGTAAAAAAGCTATAACCCAGAAATGTTATAAAGAAGAGCCACCAACTAAAGATGAATGGTTCAAAATTATAGCAGAAATAAAGGAAATGGAAAAAATGACACATGCACTTCGATCACAATTAGAAACCTTTGGAAAGAAATGGAGTAAATGGCTGGCTTTCTCCTCAACGACAAAATAATTATTTATAACTGAATATTTACGTAATTCTAGAGGTTATGTATCATTGTGAAAATATGTTTGGCAACCTTTTATTATAATTTATTTTATACTTATTTATTTTAATGAGGTTAATTTAATATTTTTATGCATGTGTGTATATGGATATACATGTGTGGAATGGATGTGTTTGCCTATAAAAGTATGTATACATATGTATATTTATTTATATGTGTATTTTTTATTTATTTATTTTTTATTTGCTTGTTTTGTTCCCACTGGTTATATGTTCCTATAAAATCAATAAAAACTAATTTAGAAAAATAAATAAATAAATAATTGTGAATTGTGTTCATTTTCAATGGATTCTGACTGGCTGTCGGGATTTTATCATTCATTAGCGAGGAAAAATAATTCTGAAAGTGATCCCAATGATATCGATCCTCTGTATCTTTATCGTTAAAGTTGTGGTGCACTGTAAAAAGTGCAGGGCTCCACACGATTAATTTATGTTGTCCCAACACAAATAATTTTTTCAAATCAAGTTCACAAATCAAGTTAATTGATTTAAAACAATTGAGTCGTCCCAAAAATAATCTCAGGAATTGTGTTGTTTTAGCTCATTCTAAATAAGTAGTTTAAACATTTTTTGGAGTGCGTGAACTATGCTATTCTTTAACATTGCGAATGTTTTTGGAACTATGTCTACAGGGTGGGCCATTTATATGGATACACCTTAATAAAATGGGAATGGTTGGTGATATTAACGTCCGGTTTGTGGCACATTAGTATATAGGAGGGGGCAAACTTTTCAGAATGGGTGGTGACCATGGTGCCCTTTTGAAGTCGGCCATCTTGGATCCAACTTTTGTTTTTTCAATAGGAAGAGGGTCATTTGACACATCAAACCTATTGGGAATTTCACAAGAAAAACAATGGTGTGATTAGTTTTAACGTAAATTTATTCTTTCATGTGTTATTTCAAAGTTTCTGACCACTTATTAAATGTGTTCAATGTGCTGCCCATTGTGTTAGATTGTCAATGCAACCCTCTTCTAAAACTCTTCACACACTGATTGCAACACCGCAGGAGAAAGTGTCAAATGACTGTCTTACTTTTGAAAAAAAAAACAAAGGTTGGATCCAAGATGCCCGACTTCAAAATGGCCACCATGGTCACCACCTATCTTGAAAAGTTTGCCCCCTCACATATACTAATGTGCCACAAACAGGACAATAATATCACCAACCACTCCCATTTTTTTAGGTGTATCCATATAAATGGGCCACCCTGTATAACGTTATATTTATACTTTAAAATGTTTTCAAAGTCTTTTTCGCTCAGAATGAGTGCATTTAAATGTTTGGAAATGCAGTAAAAATAATTAAAAGTAAGAATAAATAAATAGTATTTGTCTGATGCAGGGGTGCCCAAACTCGGTCCTGGAGGGCCGGTGTCCTGGAGAATTTAGCTACAACTTGCTTTAACACACCTGCCCGGAAGTTTCTAGTATATCTAATAGGAGCTTGATTAGCTGATTCAGGTGTGTTAAATTAGGGTTGGAGCTAAACTCTCCAGGACACCAGCCCTCAAGGACTGCATCTAAAAAAAAAAATAATTAGCCTTAGTTAATAAAGTGTGAATGGGTATTAGCCTCGGTGTACATGCTTAGAAATTTAAACTACTGCACAGTTGACATAACTTTGTTTAGTTGCCAGCAGTTTTGTTCTGTGCTGTGATGAATGAAAGCGTGGTTATTAGTGAAACTTGTTAATCGTTGCATCCCCAGTTGTGTGTCAAGATGTTAGCAAGATCTTAACTTCCATTTCATGCTGAATTCAAATGTATCTTCTGATGATTTAAATGCATCTTTGTGAATTAAAGGTGTTAATTTCCTTTAAAAGACTTCTCAATGGTATGGCATCTGTTGCGTACTTTGATGGACCACAGGTCACTGCTGAAGCGGCTCCTCTTCCGGTTGGCCATGGGTGTGTTGTGAAGACTGGCCGCGACTCTCTTAGCGACCCGTTTGTCTCTGAATTCCACCCAGCCCTCTGTAAAACTGGATGATTTGCAGCCGGCCTTCTTTTTCTTTCTTTTTACACATCGATCTACAAGACCGTCACAAATAAATAGTAGAATGGAAAGTTAGTCAAACATAAAAAACATTTAGTTAAAAAAAATTGTTTACTCAAAACTGAAAATTCCGTCGTTGTCATTCACTCAATTTTCAAACCTTTCTTCTATTGGACATAAAAGACATTTTAAAGAAATCTGTAACCATTGACGTCCATAGTATTCATTTTTCCAATAGAAGTCAATGGTTACAATTTTCTTCAAAATATCTTCTTTTGTGTTTGAAGGAATAAAGAAACTCAAAGTTCTGTAACCACTGGATGAGGATTAAATAGCGAGTAAATTTTTAAATATTTTTAGTGAACTATCCATTTAACTTAAGCTCATGTATATGCTTATGTATTGCTATATATGCCGAAATAAATTGTAAATTTCATTTAATGAAATGCTTAAAGGGATAGTTCACCCAAAAATGGAAAAAAATAAATAAATAAATTTACCCAAAGGCAAGTGGTTCTACTGTTGAAGACAAAACAAGATATTCTGAAAAATGCTGGGGGAAAAAAATGACAGACATTTATAGTAGAAACAAAAAATGTTTTTCTTCAGCAAATTTTCCTTTGGGTTCAATATAAGAAAGAAACTTTATAAGATTAGAAAGAGTAAATGATGACATTTTTTGTTTTTTAGGAAACTATCCCTTCAAAACACTTATATTTTTGAAAAAATAACATGTAAATATTTCAGGTTTTATCGCTATATACATACTATACAATTTACAATTTGAAGTTATGCGTTTGAATAAAATGTCTTATTTTCATCTGTAAAGTACTGAAAACATTTCTGTCAATTTTATGTTTGCATAAAGGTGTAATGTTTTTAGAGCTCAATTGTTTTTTTTTAAACAAATGAATACTAATGTTTAAACTAAGATTCTAACGGTATGATAACCTTGGATAAAAAATATCATGGTTTCACGGTACTGTGATTACTGCTTTAAAATATATTATTTAGAAATGTCTGGGTAAAAAACAAAAAACTTTTCCCACCTTTGAGCACACTATATTTTATTTTGAGAAACGTTTAAAATATTTTGGAGCAGTAAACATGTCAGACTGAACAATTTAAATGATTCATTGACTTCTGCTGTCTTCGTAAGTTTCAAAAACACAGATTTCTTTAAAACTTAAAATGGCATCTTTGGATATCTTTTTTGCTGGAAATACTGTTGCCCTAAAAAACAAACAAAAAAAAAAAAAATCTTACACATACCTTAGGAACGGTATAGCAGAAAAGTTTGGTGGTTTTAAAACCTTGACTTTTCCATATCACAGTATACCTTGAAAATGGTTATATATAACATTGTTTTCTATCATATGTAATATGTTAAGGGTTAAAGTATTAAAATACTATTTAATATAAAATAATATAGAATATTATTATAATAACAATGTTGCATTGTGTAATAATTACATTATAAAATAAAATATTATTATTACAACGGATAAAATTTGTCCACCACCCCCAATCATGGAACAATGCAGCTGTCAGATTTATAGAAAAATATTTTATTTTTAGTTGTTAATTCATTATTATAATATGAATAATTTACAATGAATAGATTGCCGTTAGGATAAAAACTAAGAAACGAAGATTATGTGATATTTAAAAAAGTTGCTAAATAATAAAAATTAAGTAAAAGAGGAAAGGGTGCACATTAGGATTGAGGTACAGTTGGTTTTATATTTTGCACATTTGTTCAGTTACAACTTGTGACAAGCTCTCTATATTATTTACACTGTTATTATGAATATTTGATCTGAAATGTAATGTAAAAATGACTTGTAAACAACATTAGCACCATTTATTTCACTATGAACAATGTTGTGCTTTGATAGTGATTGGCTGCTAATATGACCTCACTATTTAGACCTTGCACAGAAAACTTTGCTGAAATTATATTATTAGAGAGAAAGTCCTATTTACTGTATGTGAATCTAAAACCAACTTTCCCTCAACCTTTTTAGGACTGTTGGGCCCCATGAATGGAATTGGTTAATGCCCCCAAATCACTAAATCTGCCCAGTCCAGCAGTCAAATTCACAAACCTTTATAGATGTCCTTTTCAATTATGTGTTTTTGAAGTTTTACCTTCAGGCTGTAAGAAGATCCTCCCGATCTCTCCATACGCACTCAGGAGATTCCGCATGTGTTTCGGTCTCATCCTTGGAGGAATGTGTCCCAAATACACGATACCTGGAACACATTTCTTGCCCTTTGGCTTGTCAGACTCGTCTTCTTCATCATCATCATCATCATCTTCAATCTCCATGTGAAAAGCTTCACCATCATTAATGTCTTCCTCAGAGTTCATCTCCTGCTCATCTTCTTCAGCACTGTCTGCTTTCTCCTCTTCATCTTTCTCTGGTTTACAGTCATTTAACTCGTCTTCACTGAACACAGGTTGTGTTTCTAGGTCTGTTTTCACTTCATTCGTCTCCAGGAGAGACATTATTGGATGTAGCAACGTTTAGAGACTGAAATTAGGAATGAAGGATGTTAAAAACCCATTAAAATCTCACATTACCGAGGGTCTCATCTATAAAATAACGTAAATAAGTGGTAATATCTGTGCGCGTACTCTTGAATTCAATACCTTTTTAAAAACACTTGTATTAAAAGTGATTCTTACATTGAAAATGTTATCGGGGTGTTTCCTTTCACAAAGCTTTCTTCGTCCATAAAGCAATCAATCCTTTCCAAGACGCTTTTATAGGAGAATTGTTGCGATAAATCGACTCTTTCAACACATGTGGCTGTGGTACTGGAAGCGGCTGTGACGTCGAAATCAAGCGTCAAAACTTTCTTAAAGAGACAGAACTGAGAAGGTTCTCGTCAAATCCGTTGTATTAAATTTCGTTAATATCGAATGATATATTCGTTTTACTAATCTGCCAAGTTGACTATATATTTAAACACGCTTAAATAGAATATGTATAAATTTATTACTGGAATGGACGATTATTTAAAACATTTTAACTGTAACCTTTGTTTTGAACAGCAGAGGACGACAAAACACAAGGAACAACTTAAGCATCATGATCTGGATTAAATAAAAAGGTACCACATTCATTCATTCATTCATTCATTCATTCATTCATTCATTCATTCATTCATTCATTCATTCATTCAATTATTCATTCATTCATTCATTCATTCAATTTCTTTTCGACTTAGTCCCTTTATTCATCAGGGGTCGCCACAGTGGAATGAAACACCAACTTATCCAGCATATGTTTTACACAGCGGATGCCCTTCCAGCTGCAACCCAACACTGGCTGGCAAGGTACCACATTAAATACTTTATAATTCTGTTTTAGTATAGCTAGAAGCTTCAACTTCCAACCCTTTGATAATGCTACCAACTAGCCAGCAGCTTTTGACTTAAAGATGATTAATTAAAGTTTAAGTTCAAAAATACAATAATTTCTAAAGGAGAATTATCTACAAAGAGGATAATTTCCCACAGAAGTAAACGAACAAAAAAACAAACATTCATTCATTTTCTTTTCGGCTTAGTCCCTTTATTCATCAGATGTCGCCTCAGCGGAATGAACCCCCAACTTATCCAGCATATGTTTTAAGCAGCAGATGCCCTTCTAGTTGCAACCCATCATTGGGAAACATCCATACATACGCATTTACACACTACGGACAATTTAGCTTACACCAATTCACCTATACCACATGTCTTTGGACTGTGGGGGAAACCAGAGCACCCAGAGGAAACCCACACCAACGCAGGGAGAGCATGCAAACTCCACACAGAAATGCCAACTGACCCAGCCGAGACTCAAACTAGCGACCTTCTTGCTGTGAGGCGAGTATGCTACCCATTGTGCCACCGTGACACCCAACATACAAACAAACATTCATTCATTTTCTTGTCGGCTTAGTCCCTTTATTAATCCAGGCTCGCCACAGCAGAATGAACCGCCAACTTATCCAGCAAGTTTTTACGGAGCAGATGCCCTTCCAGCCGCAACCCATCTCTGGGAAACATTCACACACACACAGTCATACACTTCGGACAATTACAATTACTACAATTTAGCCTACCCAATTCACCTGTACCGCATGTCTTTGGACTGTGGGGGAAACCGGAGCACCTGGAGGAAACCCACGTGAACGCAGGGAGAACAACGTGCTACCCACTATGCCACTGCGTCGCCCCTTACACCAATTACAAACAAACAAACAAACAAACAAACAAAGAAAGACTATTGAAGCGTTATGTTCATGGCATAAACAGACCATCTGTGAAGAGATTCACAGCATTACAAACCTGGAAAGGGAAGGAAAATGAATAGCAATCATTGTAAATGCTTTTTTATTATTAATTTTACCGTTATTATTACTTACATTCTATCACCCTTGCATTATATTGTTTGTTCTGTTGTCATGTGTCTGTTAATTAATGCATAGTAATCATTAAAAAAAATCATTGTGAATGACAATCAAATAAAAAATGGCACACATATATTATATAAACCGCACAAACATACTATATTAATATAATAAAATCGTATATCGGAATAATATATTTCAAAAGTATTGTAATTTATTTATACATTTCTCATATTCGCTCCGCTTCATTAATATGGGTGGGGTTAAATATAGCTTTTACCGCACTTCGGCTACTTCGATTCTACGATTGGTGGGATTTTCAGGACAGTATTAATGTAGATTTTCTGCACAGATTCTGCTATTAAATATATATTTTTTTAAAAGTTGAAACAATGCTAACAAAATCTCTGAGCTCACAATAGTCTGATATTATGCATATGTTTTACACAGCAGATACCTTTTCAGCTGCAACCCAGTACTGGGAAACATCTTCACACATACACTCATACACTACAGTCAATTTAGTTAATCCAATTCACCTATAGCGCATGTCTTTGGACAGTGGGGTAAACTGGAGCACACGGAGGAAACCCATGCCAACACGGATAGAACATGCAAACTCTACACAGAAATGCCAACTGGCCCAGCCTGGACTCGAACCAGCAACCTTCTTGCTGTGAGGCGACAATGCTAACCACTGAGCCAACATGTTGAGAGTTTTCGTAATTCTTAATTTTTTAGTTGTTAAGACCAGGCAAGGCACATTTATTTATATAACACATTTCATACACAGTGGCAATTCAAAGTGCTTTCCAAAAACAAGAATAAAAAAGACAAGTATAAGAAAATAAAAAACAAATAATAAAAATGATTAAAAATAGATAAAAACAGATTAGCTACATTATTGATCATGATGTATGCTACATTACCTCATCCTGCAATTTATGCTGAAAGGGTGTTGAATGTTTTTGCATTAACAATTAATAATGCGAGTTGTTACTACAGCTGAAAACACACAGGCTTATTTGTTTCCTACTTTAAACTTTTTGTTCACTGTAAGAAAAAGTTCTTGCTGGCTAAAATTCCTTAGTTGAATCAAATGAACTTTTCTAGTCATCTCAACTACCATCAATCAAGTTGACTAGAAATTTTAAGTTAAACTTTGTATAATTTTAAAAAATTGTTGAAAACTGATAAATGCATTCACGTTCAGCCTTGAGGCGGATGGGCTACAGCAGCAGAAGATCACACAAGGTGCCACTCCTGTCAGCGAAGAACAGGAAACCGAGGCTTCAATTCACACAGGCTCAGCAAAATTGTACAATAGAAGATTGGGAAAACGTTGCCTGGTCTGATGACTCAGTTTCTACTGCGAGCCTGCAACATTCGGATAGTAGGGGCAGAATTTGGCTTCAACAACCTGAAAGCATGGATCCATCCTGCCTTGTATCAACGGTTCAGGCTGGTCTGGGGGATATTTTCTTGCCACACTTTGGGCCCATTAGTACCAATTGAGCATTGCGTTAAAGTCACAGCCTACCTGAGTATTTGAGTATAGTTGCTGACCATGTGCATCCTTTTATGACCACAGTGTACCCATCTTTTGATGGCTACTTCCAGCAGGATAACACACCATTTCATAATTATCTCAGACTGGTCTCTTAAACATGACAATGAGCTCACTGTACTCAAATGGCCTCCACAGTCACCAGATGTCAATCCAATAGAGCACCTTTAGGATGTGGTGGAATGGGAGATTCGCATCATGGATGTGCAGCCGACAAACCTGCAGCAACTACGTGATGCATATCATGCCAATATAGATCAAAATCTCTGAGGAATATTTCCAGTACCTTGTTGAATCTATGCCACGAAGGATTAAGGCAGTTCTGAAGGGAAAGGAGGGTCCAACCTGCTATTAGTAAGGTGTACCTAATAAAGTGACCATTGCCAAATATTTGTTGTCCTGACTTTTGTCATTCATTTTTTTATATAGTGTAGAAAAAATGTGTTTATGAAAAAAAAAAAAAAAGTATAAAGATGCCACGGTTGCCCCAGGTCTCATCTACTAATTTATCTTTCAGCCACAGAAAACTTCAAACCAATCATCAAATATTTATAAGTGCATGCATGGCTGATATAAATAAAGATGTCAAATAATGGCTTGATTATAAAAACAGCATTCAGAGGACATGAAAACAGTCCCGTCCTCCATTAATATCCCCAGGAGTGTGTGTTAGTGTGTGTCGGTCCTGCAGGAACGCTCTGCTGTTTGCGTGGCCATGTGCCCGTCGCATGTGGTCTCCTGCATTATTGAAGAGGAGGACTTGGGTTTACAGAGAGCTCTGCAGCAGCATCTGTCTATTCACATTTAACCCCGAACACCAGGGCCACAGAAGCTCAAGGGGCTCAGGAGATCACAGGCTCAAGGGACTCACAAATAGCATCCTGGCTGAGCAGAGGAAGAGCACATTTCTTCTTCAAAACACACACACTTCCTGTCTGAACTTTGATTCTGTGCCCACAAAGAGAGGAGAGTTTATTTTTTCTTGAGTATGTGGAAGACACAGGGTCAAGGGTAGACAGACAAATACACAGTAAATAGGTCATTTTTTAAAAAGAATTCTGAATAATGTTAGTAAATATTCTAATTATGAATAATAAAAACTAGAATAATGTCAAATATAATTTCCTATAATATCACAATGATTATGGTGGTTTTGAGGAAGATCTATCTATCTATCTATCTATCTATCTATCTATCTATCTATCTATCTATCTATCTATCTATCTATCTATCTATCTATCTATCTATCTATCTATCTATCTATCTATCTATCTATCTATCTATCTATCTATCTATCTATCTATCTATCTATCTATCTATCTATCTATCTATCTATCTATCTATCTATCCATCATTCGATTCCATCATTACAATCCATCATTTCATTGTCTCATCCATCATTCCATCATTCAATCCATCATCTCATCCATCATTCCCATTCATCATTCCGCCCATCATTTCATTTCATCAATCCATCCATCATTTCATCGTCCAATCCATCATTCCACCCATATTTCCATCCATAATTCCAGCATTACATCTATCATTCCAACCATCATTTCATCATCCCATCCATCATTCCATCCATCCCATCATTCCCATCATTCCCATCCATCATTTCATCTATAATTCCATCATTCCATCCATCTTTCACATCCATCATTCCATCATTTCATCGTCCTATTCTTTATTCAATCATTCCCATCCATTATTCCATCCATCATTTCATTATTTCATCATTCCATCTATCATTCTATCCATCATTTCAACCACCATTCCTTCCATCATTCCATCAATCCATCCATCATTTCATCTATAATTTCATCATTCCATCTATCATTGCATTCCATTACATCATTCCATC